CACGACCAGGCAGAGCTGGTTCACATGGTAGACTTTCCAGAAGTACCGCCTGCTGCCTGGAGACGCGAGGTACTCCTCTGGAGGCCTCCTAGATGGGGTCGGAAAGATGGGTTCGGAGGATCGCGCCGCATCGCCGATGCATCCGCGATGCATCGCCGATGCATCGGCGATGCACCGGCAGCGTCGGCGATCCATCGGCGCCGTCGGCGTGGAGAACATCGGACTCCGCATCGGGCAGCATCGCCGATGCATCGACGATGCGGCGCCATCCTCCGATCCCATCTGCTCGGACCCCATCTGGGGAGCCTAGATCCTTGTCTGTTGTCAGCCGCCACCATTCGCGCGCCATCGCGGCAGCGTGATCAACACAGGGCCAGCACGGGTCGCGCGAGTCGGAGCTCTGCATCGGGCGGTCAAGGCCATCACCCAGCAGCGGCTCGCCCCACATGGGAGGGCGGCCGACGTGCCCACCATGGGCTGCGCTCCCCTCCGCCAGCAAAGGCCACGTGGCCTCCCGCTTGAGCCCGCGGAAGGAGGAATGGAAGTTCCAACCTCAGACGAATGCAGAATCGAGACAACGTCGGACTGACATAAGTCGAGAACCTTTGAGAATCGGAGAGCTCAGAAGATGCATCGGACGCCGCGGCCGTTTCAGAGCGCTCCCGGAACGCTGTGAGAGCGTTCTGAAACGCTCTGGAACGATTTATCTCGATTCGAGGCCTGCCTGAGAAAGAAGAAACAATTTTGCATAGGGGAAACAGGTCCTGAGGGAAACGGGTCCTGGACGGACCCCGGGGCTTCTCCCAGGACCTGTTCTTCATACTGAGTCGTTTCCTCACAGTCCAGGGGCCCGTGGAGGGCGCCGAGAGCCCGAAAGAGCCGAAAAACCTCAGGACCCGTTTCCCTCAGGACCCGCTTCTCCCATGGAGAGGAGCTTGGAGGGACAAAAAACGACATTAAACATGGAAGTGTGACGGTCCGCGCGGATCTCTTGGATCTGCGCCCGGGTCCCCCCCGCCCGGGTGCGCGGAGAGTGACAGGGACGGGGATGCACCTCTGGGAAGGCCCGGCGCAAATCCCAAGAAATCCGCGAGGATCTTCAAACATTTGTGTTTATGAAGGGGCCCTGGGACACACAACGAAATAGACACAAATAACAGGATTCCCCATATTTTCACATATTTTCTTAGTCTTTGGCATCCCCCCCACTTCCAATATTTTCCCATATTTTCCTGGGGATCGGCGATTCATTGTGTCTGTGTTTTTGTTCCCCTTCCTGAGCTACCAGCGACGCACCAGCAGGCGCTTCCCGGAATCCGTGCGGATTCGTTGGGCGGGCGCTGGGCGCCCGCCCCCCCTGCCCACGGGCCACACCTCGGCGCGCGGGGCGCGGCGGGTAGGGAGCACCGTCTCCCCTGCCCCCTCTAGTTGGGGGGCCACATGCGAACCCTACCCCTACCCCCCACGATTTCTGAGGGCGAGGGTGGGGTTCACTTCGCTCGGGAGCTCCCTGTGCACGCAGCTCCCCCTTGTTATGATTATGGATACCACGAGACTGTTGTTTCTGTGGGAGCGGCAGGTCGGTTGAAGAAAAATCAGCGCCATGGGAAGGGATGAGAGGGAGGGACAGGCTCTCGGATGAGGCGCGAGCAAAGATAGCTTGCCCCATCCTCCCTCTCGGCCCACCCCCCCTCTCCGGGAGCGCCCACCACCGTGCTCCTGTACCGACCCTGGCGTTGTTGGCCCCCTCAAGACTGGCGCAGAGGCCAAGCCGAGGCTGCGCACAGTCAGATCCTCGGCCCAGAAGCGGGCGGGCCAGGGCAGGGCGCTAGCGAATCTGGACAGCCCTGCAACCCCCGTGAATCGGCGGAGGGGTAGAGGGGGGCAGAGGGGGCAGGGAGGAAAGGAGCAGGGGGGGGAAGAGAAGCGAGAAGGGAAGGGGGCAAGAGAGGTGCTCACGCGCCATATCTGACATCCCTCACCTTTTCCACCAATCCCTTCCCATCGAGCTGATGTGTTCTCTGTCCGCGGGGTCGTGCAGTGGCGGGCCTGGAACCCCCCAAATATATACATATACATATACATGTATATGTATATATATGTGTGTTTATATCCTCTCGTGTTGTGGGCAATTGGCAATTGGACAGTGGGAACTGCGTACATGGAGGGGGAGGAGGTGGAGGAGGAGGAGGAGGAGGAGGAGGAGGAGGAGAAGGAGGAGGAGGAGGAGGGGGAGGAGGAGGGGGAGGAGGATGTGGCGGATGAGCAAGAAGTGTCTTCGGATGTCACTTGAAAGTTTCTTGGGTCCCTCTCGGGGCGTCCTGTGGGCCTCTTGGCGGTCATGGGGGCCGCTTGAAACGTCTTGGATGCCTCGGCGGAGCCTCTCGGAGCCCCGTCGGCGGTCTCGTTGGAGTTTTGGGTGTTAGAGGCCTTTTGAAGGCGTCTTGGGTGCGCCTTGACCCCCTGTTGGGGCGCTTTTGGGAGCGTTGGGGACCCGAGACCAAGACCTCAAAAAACCGTCTGGGCCTTCCGCAACATGGTGGTTCCCCAACGTAGGGGGAGGTCCGCCGAGCCTTCCACAACACGGTGGTTTCCCTATGTAGGAGGCTTTTCGTCGGGCCTTCCGCAACATGGTGGTTCTGCAGCGTCGGAGACTTTTCGCCGGGCCTTCCGCAAAATGGTATGGTGGCTCCCACACGCAGGAGGGCTTTCGCCGGGCCTTCTGCAACATGGTAGCGTCCCAACGCAAGGAGGCTGTCCGCCAGGCCTTCCGCAGCATGGTGGCTCCCCTCGCCGGGCCTTCCGCAACATGGAGGCTCCCCCAACGTAGGAGGGTTTTCGCCGAACCCTCCGCAGCACGGCAGCGTCCCAGCGCATCGGGGACTGCCCGCCGGGCCGTCCGCAGCATGGTGGCTCCCCAGCGTAGGGGAGGCTGGCCGCCTATGGGGTTTAGGGTTTGGGGTTCAGGGCCCACTAGCCTCTACTCGAAGCCCGCTGCACGTATCCCACCCACCCATGACCCATCACATACAGAACTCAACGCGTCGAGGACGTCAGTGCGACGGGTCGTGCGCAGCACTTACGCAGCGCCTCAACCCGATGCAGCGGCGATGCGGCAGGGGATCGAAGCGACCAGTGGGTAGCTGCTCCCCACAGCAGGTTGCCGACGCATTGGCGATGTGCTGCGCAGCTTCGCGCGTTGCTGGGGGGCTATGAGAGAGACTCCACCCCCCGCCTCTCTTGCGTCCGTATTCACTTGGGCTCTGGGCGGGAGGCTCGCGCAACCCCAGCACCGCCATAACTCGCAAGCGCCCGGCGGTTTTCGGGGCAGCCGACTCTGCCGGCGCCGCGGCGGAGGCGGCGGCCGAGCGAGGGCGGGCCCAGCGTCGGGTGCAAAGGGATTCGGGCCGCATGCATGGGAGCCCCCACTTTTTGCTAAGGATTCCGGCCGCATGTGCCCAGAAGGGGCGGCATAAGGAGAGTCCGCAAGGGATCTCAGGGCTAAATCTTTATAAGCTCTTAGTCATTCGGTTTTCAGGTTTACACAATGTATCGGGGCATTGCCCGGTTCCCCCACAGAAAAACGGTGCATTCGCGGACCCTCAATACATGGTCCTTGGGGGGTTAGGGTTTAGGGTCTTAGGGTAGGAGGTCTGGAACTAGGGTCTTAGGGTTTTAGAGTCTCAGGGTCTCAGGGTCTTCAAGTCTCAGGGCCTTAGGGCCTCAGGGTCTCAGGGTCTTATGGCCTTAGGGCCTCAGGGCTCAAGGCCCTCGGGGCCTCGGGGTCTCAGGGCCTTAGGGCCTGACGGCCTGAGGGCCTTAGGGCCTTGGGGTCTCGGGGCGGTCGCAGCGACGCAGGGCCGCAGGGTCTGTAGGGTCTCAGAATATTCGGGTCCTAGGGCCTTAGAGCCTTAGTCTTGCGGTCGTAGGGTCGCAGGGAACAAGGGTCTGAGAGCCTTTCGGTCTAAGGGCCTAGGGCCCCGAGACGCAGAGTCTTATTGTCTCAGGGTATTAAGCCTATTTGGTTCGGGGGTGAAAGGGGGCCCCCTGGAAAATGCAATTTTCGAAAGTCGGGGCGCAGAGTGCTAGCTGGCGTTAGCTGCCCCCTCCTCCTCCTCCTCATCCTCCTCCTCCTACTCCTTCTCCTCCTCATCCTCCTCCTCCTCCTGCCCCTCCCCCTCCTCCTCCGCCTCCTCCTCCTCCTCCTCCTCCTCTTCCTCCTCCTCCTCATCCTTCCTCTTCTTCTTATTCCTCCTCCTCCTCCTCCTCCTCCTCCTCCTCCTCCTCCTCCTCCTCCCTCCTCCTCCTCCTCCTCCTCCTCCTCTTCTCCCCCTCCTCCTCCTCCTCCTCCTCCTCCTCCTCCTCCTCCTCCTCCTCCTCCTCCTCCTCTTCCTCCTCCTTCCACAATGGCAAGGAAAACCAAAGAAAACCAAAGGAAAAAAACAAAAAAAAACAAGAAACCAAAGGGCTGGAGCCGAAAAACATAGAAAAACCTAGGGACAACACAAAAAGATTCACAGACCTACCCTTCCCACCCCTACGCTCCACCGAGAAGGGTGCCAGATTATTGTTTGTTGTTTGTGTTTTGTTGGCTGTACCTTAGGTGTTTGCTTAGTTTTCAATTCCAAGCCTTTGGTTTCTTTGTTGCTTTGTTGTTCCTTAGATTTTTGTTATTTTCTGCAACACACATGGTATTTCCTTGGGTTTTCGTTTGTTTTTCCTTGCCGCTGTGGGAGGATGGAGGAGGGGAAGGGGGGATGAAGGCGGATGGGGGGGAGTGGAAATGAAGAGGAGGAGGAAGAGGAGGAGGAGGAAGAGGAGGAGGAGAAGGGGGAGGAAGAAGAGGAGAAGGAAACGGAGGAACATACTGAGGAGGAGGAGGAGGAGGAGGATAGCAGAGGTTTCCTATTCCTCCTCCTCCTCCTCCTTAAGAGGAGGAGGAAGAGGAGGAGGAGGAGGAGGAGGAGGGGGAGGAGGAAGAGGAGAAGGAGACGGAGGAA